CTTAGTTCTTGGCATTTTCCGGACTTATCAACAAAAATAAAAGCATTTTTTAAATATTTATCAATTCTAATGATAAATTTATCAATATTTAGTGACAAATGTAATTAAAATCGAAAACTAGAGAGAAAATTTTCAAAAACTCACACATAAAAATAAATATTTGCTATTTGTATTAACGTCTGAGAGGTATAGCAAGTTTTGATTTTATATAAATAATCTCGGGCTTCATTATATTTATACGCGGCACACATCTGATTATAGTCAAATAGACATAAAGATTAAACAATTAACATGCACATATGCTCAAACGTCAATAAATAATCACTTACCTCTTCAATGATGTCTATTACATTTTCCACTTCACCCTCGAAACCTTTCGGTTTCATATCAACAATTTCATAGACTTTCCTTTTAATAGCAGCCCAATCTTTCTCAAACCATGTATACATCCCGTCTTTAAATTCGGATGATAAATCAATTATCGAAGACAGTCCTAACCTGTATTTACCATGTTAGAAATTTCATTTTATCTGTAAAATAGAAAAATATGAGACCATACCTGATAACACTCTTCACAATTAAAGTTTGCTGTTTTTTGTCTTTTTCCGAAAATTGTTTAACCATTTCGGATGTCTTTCTATTAAGAACTTTAACAAGTTGTTGACCATCTTGTAATTTCCACTCGGAATCTCCTTTACTTTGATCAATATAATCGTCAAACGATGCGAGATTTATTTCAAGAGAAGATTCTTCTTCCTTATCCGATTTATCATCTTCATCGAATTCACTATCAGAACTTATTAAAGTAAAATGTGGCGGAGTATTACTTGTATCAGTATCCTGCATATCAACTAAGTTATTTACTAATGACTCAGATAAATTCAACTTTATTTGCGAAATTCAAAATTAGTAAAAAGGAAACCTCATCTCCCTCTGAAATTTCTTCATTGGGCGTTGTTTGATTACTTGTACGAATACGTTTGCGTGGTAATTCATCGATCTCGGTGGTGACGAGCTCAATTGCAGAAACCATAGTTCGCTGCCGTTGAATTGTTTCCTTTTGCCGAAGTTCAGCGTTATTCACTTTGATTTTATCATCGTCACGCACACGTTGAATAACTTTTTTTGCAATTTCAAACCAGTGATCTTTCTCAGGTCCCTTCCATTTTGAAAGTAAAGTGGAGGCGTATTTAGAAACGCTGTCTGGCCAATCCGGAACCTGTTTTGATAACGAACTTAAACTCTGACAACAAGTCGCGAAAAGACCATTTTCTGATAACCCTGGATCATTCTTCAGTAGCTTGCTAACGTAATCTTCTATTATATGCCACTCTTTCAATGGCTTTGAAGTAACATAGACATCATGCAATTGATGTTTCGGTGCCACGAAATTCTTTTGTCTATCCATGAATTCGTTCAAGTTTAGAATTTTTTCATATAAAAAAATCCTGAGACGCGTATAACATCAGGTGAATACTAGCCAATCATAATTACGATCAAGATGATCGGCAAACCAAATTAAAAACACTCTCACGCTGATACTGTATTAGCCAACTTGCCATAACCCCTTTGTCGAGGGTCATCGTAACTTTTGTATCTTGAGGGCTTTAGCTTGCTTGATAACTTCCGCTCTTGAAGTGGTTGTGGTTGCGATGTCTTTCACACTATCCCTACGTCAACAGAGCCGGTACAGACCCGTTCCAAGGCTTATGGACTTTCGAGTTCCGGGAAGCGTATCGATGAAGGGAGATTGACGAGGGTCACCGTAACTTTTGTATCTTGAGGGTTTTTGCTTGCTTGATAACTTCCGCTCTTGAAGTGGTTGTGGTTGCGATGTCTTTCACACTATCCCTATGTCAACAGAGCCGGTATAGACCCGTTCCAAGACTTATGGACTTGCGAGTTCCGGGAAGTGTATCGTCATTCGACTGTTGCAAAATAATGAAACACTTTCACATAGCCATACTACATAAAATTCGAAGGTTAACAAGAGGGGAAATAAAATAATTAAGCTAATACTTTCGGTTCAATCTTACTGTTACGATTCATTTCACAACATTCCACTCCGCTTCATATTCGAAAAGTATTACAAGTAAGTTTATGCTTGTGCCAAAATTAGGTGAATAATTTGATTAAAAGAATTAGAAGTATAATCATCATACCTCACCCCAATTTTATTTTCGGATTATTCTCGTTTAGCAGTTTGGACTTGCAATGCAAAGATAAGTTGGATATTTTGTTTTACTTGCACATCAACCAGGATCTCATTTTTGGTTCATTTTAATAATGCCTCTATTTCTTCTCCTTTTATATAACTTGTAGTGGTTCAAGAATTAGAATTAAATTTGGAATGAGAATTACGTTATCTTGATCTCATCACAAAAATCTGATCAATGGATTCGCTTAAAAATCTTTGATGCTACAAGACCAACAAGAGTCATTTTTGTTACTAATTCATGTAACTTTGAACATATATGAAGAAGAAATTAATTTGTTTTCGTAATATATAATGTTGTCTATACTATTCTAGAATGTTTTTTAATGTTACTGTGCATTTATTTATCAAATTTCAAGTTCTGAATTGATAGTTTCGTTGCAATGAAACTTTGTCGAGAAATATTAGCATACAGACTTGTCGACTAGGAATTCATTCGGGAAAAATAAACAGATGTTAGAACTTTCTTTTTAAATACGTATGATGTCGCATCGATAAATAATCACGTGTTCCGGTAATTTGAAAATTTAAAAACCTCGAGACCAATATAATATCTATAAATCTTTGATACTGTAAACTTATTATAATTTCTAAATATTATCTATATCTATTAATACAGATTGTAATTTAACTTAAAATACATCTATTTATATAATGAATTTTTATGTATCAAATATTTAAAATTGAAAAAAATATAAAAAATATATAACATCTTTATCATAGGAAAAAAAACCAATATAATTAATGTTTAGAATTTATTAATAAGAAAAAGATTGGTTATTATTATTAATATTACTTGTATATCATTTAATAAAAGTATTTAATCAATTAATTAAAATTATATAAGTTAAATAATAATTTACTTTAATTATTAAAAACCAATTTAAGCTAATAATAAATAATGATAAATTTTTGATGTAAAATTATTAGAATTATAAATAGTTTAACATAAAATGATTTAATGTATGAATTAAATATCTAAAATTCAATAATATAATTAATAAATTATATAATATAATTAAAATAAAAGTACTAATCAATAATTTTTGATCTATATATTAATAAATATTTTTTTTTTTTTTTTTTAAAAAAAGTAAAGAAAATAGATTAAATTTTTCTTAATTTTTTATTATTATTAATTAAAATTTCCTATTAAGTAGAAAAACTACATATATATATATATTATATTAATAAGTTTTTAATAAATGTTTTATGCTTATATTTTTTATATAATATAAAATTATATTAATTAATATTTAAAATTTAAAATTGGATATTATATATAATAGAACTTCTAATAAGTTGAATCAGATTGAACTACAAGTTAAAAATCCTAATTTTTAAGTATTTTTTATTAAGCTATATTATACTTAAACAAAAATTTACAATTATACAAATCATTTTTCAGAGTTTTAATATATAAAGTATATACATTTTTATGATAAAATTTTTAATTTTTTTTATAAAAATAGTATATAAATTATATGTATACTAATAAAAATTTAATATATATAATATAACAAAAAAAAAATTATTATAAAAATTAATTATAATATTATATAATAATATTTTATTAAATCTAAGAATTCTATTTAATAAAATTTGAATTATTTAATAAAGGAGTGAATATTAAAATGATATTTTATTATAAAATTTAAATTTTAATTAATTTTTAAATATAAAAAATAAAATTATTTTAAAATTGGAATTATTAATTCAGCAAGTTTAATTAAATTAAAAAATACCAATGATAAAACTAACATTATTTTTAAAATATTTCAATAAATCAAAAATCTTTATAATTACAGATAATATTACAAATCATTTTATTCTTTAATTAAAATATATATCATAAGATTTATCAAAGATTTGAATCCATTATTTATTCAATTATTTTAACTAATCTAATTATGGTTTATTTTAAAATTTAATATTATATAACTAAATTAATTAATTTAATTATAAAATCAAATTTTTTTTTTTATAATACAGTAAGTAAAAAAAAATACACTATCTAAATTTTAATTTTACAGCTGATTACTAATCATTTTAGTATATGATTGGCGCAGATACTTACATTTAAATTTTGTTTATTTCATCGAAAAATGAAAAATAGAGGTTTTGCAAAATATCATTAATATTGGAGAAAATGTTTACCCATTAGGTTTGATCAAAATCCATGTTACAATCGAGGTCATAAAAATTTTCACCTGACCACGTGTCATATAAATACTGTGTGAAATTATTCAAGTTCTGTACTTATTCTTGTTCAAAAAGCAAATATGTACGGCAACGTAGGACTTTCTACACCTCGCGGTTCTGGGACAAATGGTTACGTAGTTCGTAATCTATCTTTTATCAGACCTCGCAAAGATATACAAATTGAGTCTTTAGATGAAGCTAAAGCAAATGCCTCTACATTTGCTAATCGTAAACCTAATCAAGAGATATTGGATCATGAAAGAAAGCGACAAGTGGAATTAAAGTGTATAACTTTTCAACAGGAACTTGAAGAGGCCGGGTAAATATTAAAAGTATTTATTTATTTATTTATTTATTTTAAAAAAAAGTTTTTCTTATTCCAATAAATTTTCTCACAGGAAAACTGAGGAAGAAATCGAACAAGAAGTCAATTCGTTTCGTCAATCGATGCTTAGATCCATTGACATTGTGAAGGATAACAAAAAGTTTGTATTTAAACAATAATTCTAGAAACCTTATTATCATTAATTAATTAATCATAAATTTATTTTTACTAGCATTCAGGAATATCAGACACATCATCTTTCCCAGGCTAAAATCACGGAGAATGAAAAAATGATGAGAGCTTTAGGTATAAATTCACAATATTATGTTGAGGGTGCAGCATTTGATCGTGAATTACAAGAAACGAAAAAGCAAGAAAGAATTATTCAACGAGAAAAGGATCTTGAAGAACATCAAAAAAGGTTAGAAGAGAAAGAGCGTGAATTAATTGAACGAGACAAGAAATGGGAAGAAAAGTGGGAGGAAGACAAAAAGAAAAAAGAAAAATTACGCAATCTTCTTCGTGAGAAAGAAAGTCATCCAGTAGAAAAAGATGATGATAGGGAATATTATTATCGACGTGAAGAAATGTAAGTCATTTGATACTTGAGAAATAATTGAAAATCATCTTTTATTTCTTTTTTTATACATTGTATTTGTCTAATATTGTTTTTTATTTAACTTAATGCTATACAGACATAAAAACAATTATAAAACTCGCGAAAAGAGTCGAAAAAGAAACTCAAGTGTCAGCGAAAGCGGTAGCGAAAGTAGCAATACAGAAAGTAATAGTAGTCGAGATACTCGTGGCAAACGTTATCATATGTCGCGTCGCGTTAGTAAACAAGGAGATAGTGATATAAATGAAAAATATTCAAGAAGAAATAATAATGATCATTCTGACAGAGAAACTGAAAGATATCATAATTCAAGAGACCACAGAATGCCTAGATCCCCAAAACGGCGTCAAGGATCTCCTACACGCAGGAGAAATCGAGATAATAGTATTCCTTCTTCTAGAAGAAATCGGGATGGAAGTTTATCACCGCTTCCAAGAAGAAATCGAGACAGTGTATCTCCTTTTCAAAGATATCGAGATAATAGCTTTTCCCCATCACGTCGATCGCAAAGAAATCATAGTTCAAAAGAGTTTTCTACAAATTCAGAAAGGAAATCTTTTCGTAGCGTTTCACCACCTTCATATAGACATTACCAGGATGATAATGTTCGTTCTCGTTATCGTAATGAATTTAAGTCAAGACGTGATATTTATAGTTCGGAAAAGCGCAATGATTATTCACCTCGAAGTAATAATGGAAAAGCATAATCCACCACATTTTTTATAAACATTTTTTATCATTTCTTATCGTTATAAAACAAACATTTTTTTATATTGTAAATCTCGTTTAAGTACTTTTTTTTTTTTGATTATAAAAATCATGTTTGCAATCGAAAGAAAAAAAAAAATATCCCGCAGACTTCAATAGATTACACCATTCTTATATATATATATAAAAGGTTTTACACCATAAAATCTTAAAAGAACTCATTTGGTGATTTCAGCTTCTTTTAAAGATAATTGATCAACAGTAAACTTAAATAGCGAAGATTTTAAAATTAACATCAATGAAACTATTATCAGGTGAGTATAATATAAATCACTTACTTTGATGGCATCCGCAGCAGGCTTAGTTCTTAGATAGTACATACCCGTTTTCAGACCGCTCTTCCATCCATAACTTGTTTAATAGGCAACTTATGTGAGTGAATTATTACATAACATCGATCCTTATAAAATAATATATACTTACAAATGCATGCTGGTCAATTTTGCGATAGTTGGTTCTGCAATATGTATGTTAAGACTCTGAGATTGATCAATAAAAGCACCACGATCTGCCGCCATATCAATAATCACTTTCTGCGATATTTCCCAGGTAGTTTTATATAAAGCTTTAAGTGCTTCCGGAATCCCAGTAACTAATAAACATTTATATAATGATGTAATATAAGTAATCTTTGTTGTATGTATATAAATCAATTACAGCAGCATACAGCTTACCTTTCTGAATACTTCCATTATCCGATATTATTTTGTTTTTCATTTGATCATTCCATAATCCTAATTCCACCAAATCCTTTAATAACCAAGGGTTTACAATTTGAAATTCACCAGCAAGTACACGTCGTGTGTATATGTTACTCGTATAAGGTTCAAAACATTCATTGAAACCCAATATTTGTGATGTAGAAGCAGTGGGCATTGGTGCCAGTAGTAATGAATTACGTACACCATATTTGGCTATTTTTTGTTTCAATAAATCCCAATTCCATAAATCAGAAGGCGCAACATTCCACATGTCATACTGTAAAATGCCTTTAGAAACTGGTGATCCTTGATAAGTTTCATATGGTCCGAGCTCTTGTGCCAATTCACATGATGCTTCTAACGCACCATGATACATTGTTTCAAATATTTGTCTGTTCAATTCCTTGGCAGGTAAAGAATCGAATGGAATTCGCATAGCAAGGAAAGTATCCGCTAATCCTTTTAAATACAATAAAGAAGTTTTTATTATAAAATAATATTTTAAAACAAATAGAAAATTTTCAGGAAAATATAATACCTTGAACGCCAATACCAATTGGTCGATGGCGGAAATTGGATCTGCGAGCTTCTTCGACAGGATAATAATTTATATCAATGATCTTGTTAAGGTTTCGAGTTATAACTTTTGTGACCTAAATCAATTAAGTTAATATAAATAAAAATAACACGATTTATGCGAATAATTAAGAAAAAAAGATATACCTCATGTAAGCGCTTGAAATCATACGATTTTCTATTATCAACAAACATGGATAATGCTATACTAGCTAAATTACACACAGCAACTTCGTCTGGACTTGAATATTCAACAATCTCGGTACATAAATTACTACATTTAATTGTGCCGAGATTTTGCTGGTTAGATTTACGATTACAAGAATCTTTATAGAGCATGTATGGTGTACCAGTTTCAATTTGGGATTCTAGAATTGCCGTCCATATTTTCTGAGCTTTTACACGTTTTCGTGCAAGTCCCTGAAGCTCATATGATTCGTATAATTTCTAAAAAATTTAAAAAGTAAGAAACTATTTTTTTTTTATCACAACGCGCCAAATAATTATACTAACTTCGAATTCATCGCCCCAAACATCCATTAATCCAGGAGCTTCGGATGGATCAAATAAACTCCAATCTTCATCTGATTCCACTCTTTTCATAAAAAGGTCAGAAATCCAGAGCGCGTAAAATAAATCTCTGGCACGAACTTCTTCTTTTCCAGTATTTTTTTTTAAATCCAGGAAATCAAAGATATCGGGATGCCATAATTCTATATAAACAGCAAACGCCCCTGGACGTTTATTTCCTCCTTGATCAACATATCTGGCAGTATTATTGTAGACACGTAACATAGGGATGATTCCATTTGAATAACCATTTGTTCCGGCAATGTAAGATCCAGACGCGCGAATATTGTGAATGTTCAAACCAATACCACCTGCAGTTTTAGAAATCATTGCACACATTTTCAAAGTATTATAGATTCCCTCTACTGAATCATCCTTCATGGTTAATAGAAAACAGCTTGAAAGTTGAGGTCGTGGTGTGCCAGCATTAAATAAAGTTGGAGAAGCATGTGTAAAGTATTTTTCTGACATCAAATTATAAGTTTCAATAGCGGCTTTGATATCATCTCCATGAATTCCAACTGATACGCGCATAAGCATATGCTGAGGTCGTTCGGCAACTTTCCCGTCTATTCTCAAAAGGTAAGATCGTTCAAGAGTTTTAAACCCAAAATAATTGTATTTATAATCTCTATCATAAATGATAGCGGAATTAAGTCTTTCAGAGTTGTTCATCACAATATTATATGTTTTTTCAGAAATCATTGATGCGCGTTTTCCCGTTTTTGGATTTATATAATTATAAAGATCTTCAATAACATGGGAGAAGACCTTTTTAGTCTCTTTATGAAGATTAGAAACAGCAATACGAGCAGCAAGAATAGCATAATCCGGATGCTTAGTAGTCATGTACGCAGCCGTTTCTGCGGCCAAATTATCCAATTCAACGGTACTAACGCCCTGATAAACTCCCGAAATAACCTTTGATGATAATTGACAAAAAGTAATTTTTTTCAATTTTGACTTAAAAATTTACAAAAGAACTCAAAGCTTCTTTATTTGTCAACAAACCTTTTGAGTCACAGTAACAGGGTCAACAAAGTTGTAATCAAGACCGTAACATAATTTATTAATACGCGCAGTAATCTAAAATGTAGAATGCAATTAAATTAAAGGACTTTCCAAAGGATGTTAATATTATTCTTTTAAAATTTTGTATAATTACTTTATCGAAGGCAACGCGTTCTTTACGACAATCTAGTAAAGGGAAATTTTTGTTGAAAAGGCAATAAATTATAATTCAGACAATAAATAAAATATTAAGTTAAAAAGTCCTTGACAACAAACCTCTCTTGAAGACAAACATATTGAAATTTTTTTACAAAAACTTTACTTTTTAAAAAACGTCACTAAATTTGTAAGTATTTGAAAATGAGACGCGATTATTTCCAGCTTAAATATAGAATTTCATTGTAGATACATTGCATGGAAAATTTCTTTTTTTATACATTAACACACGTATCGGACCTTAAAATGAATTTTAAATTACGCAGTTTTATCATATAAAATCAAGTATATATTATAATAATTTTGTTAACTAACATTATAATCAGTGCTTAAAATAGTACTTTAAATTCCGGCGAAATCCGGAATTTTTAAAGAATCCCCGATAAAAAATTTCATGTTCCGGATTTTTTTTCCGGAAAATTTTGAGGCCAACGGATATTTTTTATTATAAAATATTAGTTAAAACAATTTATTCATTATAAAAAACTGATACAAGTAAATTTAAAAAAGAAAATAATATGTTTTTGTTCTTGGATTGAAAGATTTTATTTTAATAAATAAGCATTATAAGTTTGGAATAATGAAAAAATTTTATATAGCCGGTAAATTTTATAAGATTCCGGACTCTTGGCCGGTAAAATTGGATTTCTATTTTAAGCACTGATTATAATTCGGTTTTTTATAAACATAATAAAATTGGAGCGGATTAGGTGAAATAATTCATGCAGTAAATTCGAAAATTCGACAGAGAAAAAAAAATAAGGATATCGAATAAATAATATATTTAACAGGTTTACAGCCAGAATTCGGTGCCCTTAAGAGGGGAGAATCTACCTTTCGGAATACAAAACAAACGAAGTCTATTTATAATGAGTAAACTAACAGTTTTTAACTTTAAAATATTAAAGTTGATTTTTTTGCTAATATTATACTTTTTGATTAAGTTTTTATTTTAATAAGGTCAATTTTTTTAAGCAATCTTCTTTCTGCGCAAATAAAAAAATTTACATTTTTTAAATGCAGAATATTTTATTAAAAAAGTTTAAATAGATTAATTTAAAATATGAGAATAAATATGCAATATTACTATATTTGTAAAATATTTATATATTAGATTATCTTTTATAAAAATATTTACAAAATTTAATTTAGTTTTTAAAGAGAAATCTATAGTAATTATAATAAATAAAATAATAGATAATTATTTTAAAAGTGTAGTTAATATATTTTTTTTTATAAAAATATTACAAAAAAATTTTTTGTTTTTGAATCTTGAAAATTTGATATTCTTAATTATTTTAATATAAGTTAATATTTAATTATAATTGTATTAATATTTATCAAAATATCTTAAAATAATTATATCACATTCTTACTACATATTTAATATAGTTTTATTAGTTTTAATTTCATTATATTAAGAAATTTTATTATATTTTTTTTCATTATTTTAATATAATTTCAACTAAATTTTAATTATTATTATCTATTATCTATAATATTAATATTATTAAATTCTGTATTTTATAGATTTTATTACAGTTTTATTTTATATTTAATAAGATCTTTTAGAAAGTTAATAATCATTTTCATATCATTTCTTTTTTTAAGATCTTTAATTTATAGATAAATAAATTTTATTATAATTTATTATTTTAATAAATATTATTATTTTAATATATTAAAAATATTTTCTCATTAAAAATTTATTCTAAAAAATTAAAGATTATTTTATACATTATAAAGATTAATAATTAAATTATTTTATAATTAATTAAAATTATATTATATTTAAAATTTTCTTTTTTTAATAAAATTTATTATTAGTTTAAATTAATAAATTATTAAATAGAAAATAGTAATCA